CCACTGATTATGGCACGCGAATCGCGTGTCAACTCAGCATGATCTTGATGTCATGTGACTTCTTGCCTCGATAATTAATTCATTTGACAGAACTTGTCAGCTCTCAATTAAGTTATTAATATGCAAAACAATCTTTCTCGCGCAATAACTAGCGGCAGATAAAATATTTTTTCGTGGAGTTTTTTTTTATCTTAAAGATTACTTTAAGATTTATCCAACCGCTTAAAAAAGTAAAATTATGCAAAATTGCAAATTTTCCCCTTACTGATACCTTAAGAAAAAGCCGCGAGTGCGCTCCTAGATCCTAGGTCGATTGACTGAGGATCGATGGACGGCCCTTGCGTAACCAATGCGATTACTACTTATCTAATATTCAGTCAAGGTCAAAGTCAAACAACAGTTCACTGAAATCTTGCATGAGAAGCCAGGACAGTTCAGAAATGCCTGAATAGAGAATAAAACTGTTATCTACATGTTGTAGATACAAATATATGTCATGCTTGTATTCAAGCTATGTGACGTCGAGTTATTTTGTTGCTATCAGTACCGGAAGCTTGACATTAGTTATGATCATCAGGCCGGACTGTCATACATTCCTTTTAATAGACGGTATGTCCTTGTTGAGGACTTTTTTTCCATTCTTGTCACCCGTTGGCTTGACAATCTATTGATATTGTTAACGGAAGGACTGTTGTTGTTGTTGTACTAATAGATCTCAAATTTACTCAAGGGAGTAAAAACCAAGGTTAACTCTTGCACGAACTTTCCATGAGTTTGATCGATCATATTACAATCAAGTTTAAAATCTACACCGATTTTTGCCATTTACTCCAAGTCTTGTGATCATCCTGTTAACCTTAGAAATTATCAGTGACAAAATTCGTCTTTATTTTGCCACTATTCCCATATACCTAATAAGTTCAAATTAACCCCGCAAAAAAAAAAAAGCCTCACAAATTTCATCGAGTACAACTGATCAGTGAACTACAAACGTCATATGGAGGTACAAGGCAACATTCATGACCTTTCATTTCAATTGTTTTTCACACTGGTGTTTCATCCACAGACTCAAATGTACAATCAACATTAATTGACTCAAGGTTTGAACTCTGAGTTGAAAGCAGCCGACCACGGATTTCCGTAGGTTTACGTCGTCAAACAGCGCAGAATAAACCACTTGACTGAGATTTTGCAACACTCAAGAAAACTTGCAGATTTCACGTGTCCTTGTCTGACAATTTACGGCGATCTCGAACTTTCCTCTTACCAGTTGTTCCAATATCTACACATCCTACGCGCTATTGTCGCGGGCTATTGTCATGAGGATAAGCGGAACAACACTACCTCGCGTAGCTTCTACTTACTAGTGAGCTCAGTTACCGCTTAAATTTGATACCAATAAAGAAATTAAGCCCAAATGCAGTGCAGTCTTTGTATAGTCCAAACCATACCCTGGGAACAGCAGTTGGAAACATTTCCACCTCTGAAAAAGTCAAGACATGGAACTTACCGGTTAACTTTAGTGGAACGGTTCCGCAAACTGGTGACGCCAAATCTGTCACTGCATCTAGTAAAAGGCCAAAGGGAGCTTTTATAGCCTTTGTGCCAGATATATACTGATCTGTTGGCCAGATAGAACATACAGCTCAGCTTAAAAGATTTGTCAACAGATATAACATAGGGTAAATATGTAAGTTTCCACAAATATTTAGCTAGATAGCGGAAACGTAGGACTGAAAGATTACAGGCTATCACGTACGTACGCATGCAAGAAACGCTGGCGATTCAGGCATGTGAAGATCTCTTCAGAAATTCTGTTTGTATAACGAATAGAGAAAACAATGCATCTGCAAACGTTTCGAATAAAGCCCACTACGTTTGAGAAATAACTGATCGCTTATTGTTTTGCGTGATCCATGTGCTTGTTGCTGTAATTATCACCCCAGTGGTGGTAGCTAAGCAGGATATGGATACGTTTTAAGATTTCCGTAAATCATCAGCAACTCACTGTTAAATATGTAAAGTGTTTGTAATAGGGATTAGGTCTGTTCTTATTCTTGTGCACAAGAAAGGTCTTTACTTCGATTATTCCTCATGAACAGCACGAACTGGTGAAAATGTAGTTGTGTGTTTGCTGTAGTTTGGGAAACAGAACTCTTTTTTCGGATCTTGTAGAAAGGAACATTTTTACCATCGCTGTCATGCTTGTTAGGTTAAAAACGAAGAGATTTTGCGTTGAGTGCGTTCTTGCTGAAACGAATGCTTCAGGTCCACATTAGCAATGCTCATGAGTAGCTGCATGTTCAGTTGTGTGGTCTTTTTTTCTTGCTGTGCGGTTCGTTTTTCAAACCTCAAGCGGAAGGAGAATCTTCATGGAAGCCAAAACACTAACAAAGATCAATATTCTCTTGTGCAAGCTGGATTAAGCCTTTAAGTCCTAAGTGTGATCAGCATTGTGTTTCTCCCATTAATATCGATGCATGGCCATACTTGTACAGTTTTGTGAGCATCAAGGAAATCATCACAATGAAAAGTTACCTGGGCTCTTTCTTAACGGCGAATCCTTGTTACTGGTATAGTACGAAATGTTCCCTTATCCCTAAGGAGAATTTCAATGTTGATATCGGGGCTCGAGGGGTTAATTACGAACAAAATGCTTTACAATTTATTTGTCTCAATAAAAACAACAAAAGACGGCTTACGCTTAGCCAAACCAGATCAATTAAGGCTGTCTTATGTTCTCAGCAGCCCATCACATACGGCTCCTGACGGTCTCCACTTTGGTGTTTTTACTTCTGATAGACTGGTATAATCCCTACCAAATATTCAAGTACCACTTGGCCTCACGTTCGGTATGACTGGATTTTGAAATCTACAAATTCGCACTGAAGAGGAGCCATAACTTCCACTCGAAGCTTAATAGACATTCCCAGGGTCCTGTGTAATCGTTGTATTTGTGAAAAACAAAACAGCAACAGCAACAACACATACGAGAATTTGTCTTACACTCTCCGAATGTTCATTCGAGGTAGGAGACCTATCAGATTAAGAGTTTCCAGACCCTGAGGATCACCCAATCATAGCATTTATATTATCAGCGTAGCATCTTTTGAAAGGGTTTTCACTACATAGTTCTAGAGTTCCGTTCAGTTTATTTCCGACTGTATCTGATGTTCAAACCTGTAATAAGAAGGTCTGAATTGGATCCTAATCGGTCTTGTTGCGTGTTATTGTTGAAAGAGATCGTGAATGGGATCCTGGCTCAGCTAGCAGTTAGACTCATCGCTTTATCGTACGTTCCCGTTAAAAGACGTGCCCACTTTCAGGCCCAAAAGGCAAAATCATGACAAAATCCATACTCCTACTTCAGACTAAATAAAGAAGCTCAAACCCGCGCTATTAATTTGACGTGGTAATTACCTTTTTAGTTTGCATCATGGGAGGGAAATATTTATCCGAGCTACCTTAACTTTTCGAAAAATTTTAAATTTAAAAGGTGGCTCTGAACACCACGTACAGATTTTTTAAACTTTGTCAAAAGTTAGGGATGTTTTAGCAGGCCTGTGGTAACCTATTGAGTCACGGAAATGATAACGACACCCCTTTAATTGGGCAGTCTTTGTGGCATCAACTAAGAAAAGAGTATTTAGATGACCCATCAAAATCTTAAGTCTTGGAAAAAACGAGCAAGCGCGACAGCGAGGAGACTGGAGAAGAGACCTCCATCTTTGGCACCAATCCCCACACGATCGCGCTCTCCCTGTCTTACCTTAGCTCTAAACTGTACTGGTACAAAGAAGCCGAAAAATTATCCAAATTATTGGCTTAAATTTTTATTTTCTCTGTCATAAACCACCTCCATTCCATCTCAAGTTTTAACTTGACTCCTGATCAGTTCTTGACGTGCTTTCTGTTTGCTTAGGGATTGAAAATAAAGATAAGATTAACTTATTTTCTCTTCCAGTTGACGACTTGTCACGTTATAAAGAGCAGGTACCATTAGTGATTTAAGAAATAAAACCTTTTAGGCTATGTTTACAAAACGAGGAGGTCCCCTTATTGGCATTGTTGCTGTCAGCAAGAGGGTTCTCGTTACTCTAGCACTCACATAGGGCTGCCACAGATCAGGAAAATTGGTCGGGAAAAAAATTGTCAAGGTCAGGCAAAAATCAAGGAATTTTATTTTGAGTCAGGGAAAATTGAAATAGTTTAACACGGCTGATTTGCTTCTATTGAGAGCTGGAGGAAACATGTGAGGTCACTGTGATCTCAACGATGTGTTTCCCAGATAGACAAGGAAAATTTGTTAAAAACTTATCAGTTTCACATGAATGGGTGGAGATGACGGCTGCAAGGGGAAGCTTGAGGACGCTACTATATGTGACTTTTTGTATTCATTTAGTCAGGGAAAAGTTATTTTTATCAGAGAATATTCACGGAATTTTGAAAAGTGATGCCTGAGGCTACCATGTCAAACCTTTCATCCTGTTTTCATAGATGTCAGCGTTCACACCGAGGTTTACCCAGGTACTCGGGTAACTCCGACTGAGCTAACATTATCTTAGTACAGTGATTATGGTTTGCCTTGTCAGCGGTTTCCCAGGGATAACCCACCTATCCGGGACAGGTCCCTATTTGTTACACATCAGACGACATCCAAAATTGAAAAGTTGAATTTTATTCATTGCTTTAAAAAGTTATGTATTTCATCTTAAATAAAATAAGTAAAGATCTTTGTGGAACCAGTTAAGCCCACTTCGTACTTTTAATGAGACCGCCGGAGTCTTGTAGTATCTTCGGCTGAGACCGAGTAAGGATGAAACGTCACCTTCCTTCCCTAAGCTATTTACAACTCACTGAAAAATTAACCTGTGACATCAGGTAATCACTCGTGGTTCACCCTGTGTTCGTCGTGTAAGGGATAACGATGTGTCCTCGAAACAATGTGAACTGATGATGTAGAGCCAAGCAGAACTTGGTAGTGCTTCTAATTGGTTCCTAATCGATCACAATTATTTCAACCAATCATAAGCACTTCTCAGATGTGGGTGTCTCTACAACATTAATATGGTAACACGGCAAGGGAGTAAAAGGACGTCTGTTTACCCAAGCTACTGAAAAAGAACTAAGGTAAGTACTTTGTTTCAAACGAACTGAGTAGGGAAAAAGCTATAAATTAGTTTTCTGGCATTGTTCCTGGATGAAAAACCAATAATAGAACCACCTGAGCTAACTACATCCTCAAAACAACAACCATAACATTGTATTTTTTTTTGTCTTTTACCAAGGCAACCTAGTACTAAGACAGACTTCAGTTTGCCACGTAAGTGACATCTTTCCTTATTTTTACACCAACGAGGCATGTTTAGTTAACAGAGTTCAGTTTTAGAACCAGGTACTAAAGAGTCTCGCAGAATGCAGTTTTCGTTGACCCGAAACCAGCAAAATATACAAATAACAGTAGACTTGTTCAACTAAACTTGTGTGAACCGAACGAGACTAGCAACATAACTATGTCGAACGTTACGGAGTCTAAAAATAGTTTGTCAGAGGTTGACAAGAGCCACGGAAATAAGCTATCTCTGTTATTGTCTCTTGTGGAAGCTTAGCGGAGGAATTTTAGCGTGTGCTAGTAGGAAAACCAGTAACTTACGCTTGGTCATAACAGTAATTAGCAGCACTGATCAAATCAGCACTTCAGTCAAATGATTGACAATTGTCAAAGTGTAATGAAATGTATGCATTTTGTTAACTATGTTTTAAGTTGTGAATGTTTTCTCAAGTTTTGCCTTAAGTCAGTAAGTCCCAAGCTAGAAACTCTGTCTTCGGAGACTTTTCCTCAACTTGGCGCACTCATTGGCTTATTACTCTACCAACAGCCTCGGCACTTTACGATAGGGCCCATTTCATAACTGCGGTTATGACTTGACTAGATTTAGTAAAAAAGCCGCCACAATTAACCCAGTTGTGTCTTGGTGTTATTATCTTAGTCATACAACAAAAGGGTTCTTCAAACTTCTTGTCACTACCGCAATTAAGCGAGAACGATAGACCTCAGCTGTCTAAAAGGAGTTCAGTCACGGTATCTTGATTTGTTTTGGCCACGTACACAATCACCTTCCAATTGAAGGAAACCAGAAAATAGTAGTTTACTAAGATGTAAAAACATCAGAGAGATAATTAAATACCATCACGAAACAAGGATGGTTAAAGAAAGTGAAGATTAACACGGATTACAAAACGACAAACTTGAAAGATTTAGCTAAACTTTTCAAGATACGCAAACCGTGACGTAACTCCTTTAAGAGCAAGTCTGGCTTAATACACGTGACTAGATTTGAAGAATGAGCGCTTGGAAGGTAATGCATACTTTCACCGATTGATGACGTCATCGGTTCAAAGGTGTTGATCTGCAGGGCATTGTTGATTTATGTCCGCAGTACCAACATGTTAGAACTATTTTTAGTTTATCTATACCCCCGAGCATTTTATTTCGGAACCACTCGATTCATTAAATTCACGTTCCTCTCTTTCGTGACGCTTACGATGGTTTGTTCTGTTTGAATGTGTTCTTGGAGGTTCATTGTGAATAATTAAACCGTCCAGTGGCGGAGCCCGCTCTATCGCACACTTCCCGCGCTGCGAATCACACTTCCCATGCCGTGAATCATACTTAACGTGCTGCGAGGCACACTTCACGTGAGTGTCTGACTGTTTCTCAGTCAGGCGAGTCTTAGCTCTGCCATTTGGATGGTCAACATAGACGTTAAAACTGACATTCCTTGTTTCCACCTTTCCTGGTACACTAATTTTCGCCGATAAGTCTTTCGTTTGATCTTGAGGTAATGGCCCATTGTCTTCAGCTTTCCATTGTTGTCGAGAGTGATGTTTTCTTGTCATAAAATAGCACCAAACAATAGTTCCAATTAAAAGTATGAGGACGGCGATCGGTACACCGATTAGTGCGGCCAAAGGTATTTCCTCTACTAATATTTCTTTGTCTGATTGCGTCCTTGGTGACTTTTTTGGAGCTTTTGTCATTGAAGACTGCTTCACTCCTATGCCTCCTCCTGCGTATGGTTCATCGCTTTGCAACACTGCAAGAAAGCCAAGGGATCTACATAAATCCCACGTCACATATTTCTTATTATTAAGGGGCTGGCTACTGTTTGTTTAGATGATTTTAAAATCAACTTGCAGAAAGGGGTCGAGACCGGTCTGTTTATATTACTAAAGCGGATTGCAGTGAATTGCACTTAACTTGCTTGGCATGCAGCGCACCTTTAAAAAAGGTGTAGGAAAGGTGCATGAAATGTAGCAAATCAAATAGTCTTCCCATAGCACCGTACCGTACATTATTTTATTGTACATATAACGAGAGTTTTAGGCAATAAACCTCGCAAATAGAATTCTATATGTGCTATATTTCCATATGTGAAAAAAGCGATACGTCCAATCAGCTTCGCGTAGAGCGTTCTTCCCATGTGAAAATATAACCAATCACCGTTCAGAGTAGAATCACTTAGCCAATCAAAGTTAAGCACTCAACTGGCTTCCAAGAAGAGCGGTCTTGAAATCAGCGCCCGCTAGAAGTTTGTGTTTCGAGAACATGACTTCGGCTTCCCGTTTTGGTTCACTTTCGGAAAAACAGCATCGGAATATATCCAACATCTTGAGCGCTAGAACTTCAGTTTGAGAATCAATGGCCATTTGAGAAACCGAGGAAGTAAATTTAACATCAGGAAGCCAACAACATTCAAGGAGGAACAGTGTGAGTCAAAGAGTCCGAATTTGTCTTTGCACAGCGCGAAGCGCCGCCATTACATGATTAAATCTGAGAGTGATTAGGGACAAGCGAAAAGATTCACTCTATGTATTTACGAAATCTCCGGTATTATATTTAAGCTTGTGTAGGCTCTTTGTCCGCCTATTGCTGGACTGGAAAGCAGATTTGTTTTTTATTACGCTCGGTCATTTAGATCAGTTTTGAATTTGTTCTTGTTCTGCATGTAGACTTATGGTATCGGGAAAACTAAAACTGATTTAACGAATATGTCTAATTCTCGTTATATATACAATAAACAATTATAACATAGAAAGTGCTTTGTACAGATTTTTATTCACTCGTTGAAAAACTTTGGAAAACTCACTCGTTCGCTGCGCTCACTCGTTCGTTTTCTAAAGTTTTGCAACTCGTAAATAAAAATCCGTACGTCGCACTTTCTATGAAGTAATCAATATTTAACAAATCACCATCAATCAAAGTTTTCTTGGGGAAAAAACAAGATGCTGGTATAACGTCTTGTATCTTGGAATGAATCTTCAAGTATTACGTACAGTCGTAGAAACAAAATGCATTCGCAGAGATGAGAAGTCCTATATTGTAGCTGTTAGCCCGCAAATACAGCTACCTCTCATCGCTCCTGGCCGGTCTGGCATTTCCCTCTTTTAAGAAACATTACATACTTTTTGTCATTCCCAACCTTCCTCCCCTCTGTTGAAATAAACAGGCGCAAAAGCCGGGGTGATACAAGAAGTCGCTTTATTCGCAATCTATCGAACGTTAAAGCCCATTTTTTAATTTTCGCCGGATCCACCTACCTTCTTGGCTGAGAACGGTAAGGAACGCGTGCTCGGACACATATCCAGCAGAATTCCCCACCACACATGTGTATTTGGCTTCATCTGCCAACGTGACATTTCTCACAATCAGGCGATGGGTGTAAACTTGTCGTTGTCCCTTGTGCTGCCTGGCTATCTCCCGAATCTCACGGAACTTTGATTTGGAAAAGTCTACGAACTCAAAAGGATCAGACCCATTTGAGACATTTTTGGAGGACTTCCATTTGAGAAAGTGAAACTCTGGATGGCTTTTGCTGAGAGCTGAGCACACAAACGTGGCGTCCTCGCCTACTGTGGCTGTTACGTTCTTTAAAACGTTCTCTAGAATCTTAGGTTGGAGTTCCCGTGGAATTGGTCGGTCACGCTCTAAATAAAGAAAATAACATGGTGAAAGGATACGCTGAGAAGCTGGATCACGCTATTTTGGTACTTATGTTGCGGTTGATCTGATCTTGATGTGGAATAGCGCTTTAGTCTGTTTCAGTTCAACAGATTGGATAAGCCAATTGGCTCATCAACATTGACGGTCCGGTGTCTAAAGCATGAAGGGACTGGGAGTGTTTCTACTCCTCCCAGATAGCATGTTAGTCTAAGTAAACCCTTAACATTCCGTCAGCTTGTCCTTGCAGTTCTCTTGTACCCATTTTTGTCAATGGGGGGAGAGAGGCACTGTGTGAGTTGAGCATCGTTCTCACGCGACAACACAACACAAGGGTCTCAGTAAACGCATGTTAAAAACAGGGAATTAAAGCTCTTAAACAATGCTTGAAACGAAAAGAAAGCACCAAAGAAATTCGAGGAAGTTGCAGAGGAAATGTGGAAAGGCAAAATTGTGCAAGACTGACAAGTAACTTGGTCTTTGTCGTTAGTTTCCAATATCCCTTATTATCAGTGAGAGATTTTTCTTGCGCGCGATTGGACCAAGCACGTCACGCGAGGAAGCAAAAATTGGGGAGTAAATGTTACAATATAAAAACACAAGAACATATCTTACCAACAACTTTGACGACAAAAGTCCTCTGAATACTACAAAATGCATTTCTCACAGTGCAAGTATATGTGCCAGCGTCACTGAAAGTTAATGCACGGAAATTGAGTACCCATCCTTTGGATTTCAAGTGCCTACGATCAGCTTTGCTCAGCCGTTTGTTGTTCTTTAGCCATGTCACGTTCAGTGGACGCGCTCCCTGCGCATGACATTTGAGTTTGATCTGTTGACCTTCGACGAATTCCAGGAAACGATCGCGGTTTTTTGATGGATTTCTGAACTTTGGTGGATTATCATCTACGAAAAGAAGAAGGTTAAAGAAATTAAATGTTGAGACCTTTGTGCTGAAACCTACAATCCTGGTTTAAAGTCCTTTAGACACTTGACAAAATGCCAACTGGTGACGTATTATTTTGAAGTGGGAGGTCATAATTTACCTTTCCGAGGCCCCTCCCCCCAGAGCAATGTTCAATTAGTGGGCCGGTCTACTCTGGATGCATCAACATCAACACTGTGTTGGGGGGAGGGGAGGTGGACAGAAAGACTATATGTTGGCAAAAGTGCTAAGTGTCCCAAGACTTAAGACCAGGATTGTATGTACTAAAATTGAGTTTTTACTCTTTAATTTGATGACAATTTTTCCATGGTTGGGCTTCTCTATTTGAGTAAGCGTGTATGTGGATTGCTTGAAAGAAAACAAAAGAAACAATAGATAAACAGCAAAAACACAAAATAGAGAGTTTGAACTATAGTCATAACGCAGTGAATAAAATGATAGAAAGTAAAGAAAGACTGAGATGATAGCAAGTGATGTGCGAGCGCAAAGAAACGGAAAAACAGACAACAAACCTATTAGTGGGATTTTTGAAGGCCTTATATTACATCTCCGTGGAGGTCGTTTGGTGGTGCTGACGGCAAGCGGATATCTTGACTGGATGCTTAAAGCTGTGGAGAAAGCGACAAACAATTAATTAGAATTCCATTTAAGCAAAAGACCGCTCTTTCTAGAGGTTTACCAACACGAGAACTGAAAGCGCAGTTGTAAATCAGGAGTGTTGGGCGAGTGATTTGCAAGCTTTTCACAGAACTAGCGCGAGCTGTCGTCGAAATAATGGTGCGAGCAAACATAAGATAATTTACGTTTTGATAATCGAAAGAAACAAGTGAGTTTCCTTTTTTATTCTCGCGCTGTTTTCTAAGAGAAATAGAAGACATATTCTACTTGTTTCTATCGAGTTTTAGCATAAATCTACTAGCGTTCTGTCGCGAATGCCGTTCTCTTTTTGGCCATGCTACCCACTATCTATTCTGTTTTAGTAGATTTCTACTAGTACACTAATGTAAATGCTGCAATCTTATTGACTGAGCTACTTGTATACTATCAGCCAATAGACATTGAGGGCGAATGATCTAAATGTTAAGTAGATAGTGAGCAGCCTTGCGGTGTGCAGTTGTTAAGAAAATGAGGGCAACTTCTTTGCGTTTTCGAAGAGACCGTGAAAAGGGTTTAGATAATTTGAGAGTTCAGGCTAGAAGATTTATACTTTGGATTACTCGCTCTCGATTTACTATATAATCAATATGTTAATCGTGGCCAGAAATTACAAAAAAAAAAACAAAAAACATTAGTTCACAGTTTCTGGACTCTCTTCTCCCCCGCTGCTTTCCTTTGTTATATTTTTCGCATTACGTTACGTTCCGATTTATGCAGTAATTTAAAGATGTATTGTTTTATTTTCACCCGACTTCTCCATTCTGTAATTAAATTTGATTAAAATGTACACTGCATGAAAAGAAAAACATTGAACACCGTTTTTTGCTTATTTCCAGTCATTTGTTCTCAACTTCCGATGACTCGAACTCCCGATAACTCGAACCTTTTTCAATTTCCCTTGAAGGTTAGAGTTATCGGAAGTCGACTGTATTTCAGATCATCGAAAACAAAAGCAGACAAAATTTATTCGGAGATAATGTGCTATCCTCACTGCACAAAGTGCGGTTAGAAAGCGAGTACAGAAGCGATGGCTGAAGAACGGTATAGTTCGTGAGAAATGCTGTCTGCTTGTATAATAAACTTAGATTACCTGTTGAGGTCGGTTTGGTGATCGGCGGACTTCTTACAGTACTGTTGTTCGATGCTGCAAAACACACGTAGAAAAAGGATTGAATGAATGCCGGAATGAATGAATCAATCAATCAATCAATCAACGAACGAATGCATGCATGTGTGAATCGACGGAGGGAGGCGGGGAGGCGGGGTGGATAGATTTTTATACAACAACGCTGAAGTATTTTTCAATATTTTGCATGCATAAAGATAAGAAATTATATCAAATTTGTACTTTCTCTCTCGAATGATCTCGAGATCACTTTCCTAACCTTGAACAACAAGCTGTATTTCCTCCTTGACTTTCCCGAAGTGATTGTAGGCAATACAAACGTACGTCCCTTGATCTTTTAGCTTTACCCTTCTGATTTTTAGATATCTTCCCAACCGCATTTTAAACCTCTCATATTGGTCAGTGATAATTTGCCCATCGGGATTTTGCCATGCCGTCAACGTCCTGTTGTCCACTGAATCATTAATTCCAGAGAACTTGCACCATAACTTGACCGTTTCTCCTTCTTTGACTCTGTATTCTGGCTTCACTGTTCCAAGGAGTACTGGAGGGTCTGATGGAAGGAACGGTGACGTGAATTCGATTGAATTTCTTAGTGAGTGTTTGCAAACCCCCCTCTAGCAGTTTTCTACACTCGTAAAAGATGAGATGAACCCAACATGCCCCACTAATCGAATAGATAATGACTCAATTTTTCATCAGATAAATACCTATCCAGTAGATTAAGTGCATTCAACGACTCTTCGATGAACCCGCGTTGGATACTAAGTGATTAATATCAAAAGATTGTTATTATCATCACTCGATTGGATACTGTGGACATTTAATTTCAATTTGATCTAAAGCAATTCACGTTGTGAAAAGGCGGGAAAATTTGCTTGCGTTCAATTTTTAGGGTTGAATGAAGAATGTCATGAGAGCCAGCGAGACAGAGTCTTCTGCAATATTATCCACATAATCTCTTGTAAAGGTTAAGCCGTCTACATTAGGGAAAATTGTGACAAACGAGAAAGGTTTATGGGAAGATCCGAACGAACAACATTGCTGAAAATTGTTAGTCGCGTGCAAGTCGAACTGCGGACTGGAAATCCGGCAAGAGGTAACTTGTTTATTCGGTTGTCTTGATAGATAGACTACGATAATGTTGTTCAGAATCGATCAAGTTCAAAGACGAATAATAAGGGCAAGGCCCAAATGTCAGGTTACAAACTTAACTGAAGTGCTAAGCTTACTTTTTACCGAAAATATGATTTCGATTTCAGAACGAAATTCTTTCGGTTTTGGTTCGATCTTCCCATAGATTTTGCCGCCTTTCTTCTCCATTGAGTCACTTTTATTGAACGTCACAAGCCTTTTAGTAAAATCTCTTGTTCAAGCTTTACGTGACTGAGAAATTCTCTCGTATTTTGTAGTTCACGGCATGGCATTGCCCGTTTTTTATTGCATTTACGCGGTAAATTCTGTCCGCCTTCCTTGGTAACCAAGATTCAGTGAACCAATCAGAAGGCTAGAAATGCATCATCAGAGATTTAGTAACAATTCATTATTATATGGCTAGCTCCGTGAGCGGGCAAGATGAATCAAATCCTGCGCTGTGATTGGCTACCCGAGCGGGCAAGATGGAGCTATCTTGCCCGCTCGGGACTATCCGCCGTGTCCCGCAAGAAAAATTTCCCCGAAAGCCATGCATATAATAAATCCGTTCTTTTTTTGCGAGTCTATGGATCTCGACTCCGTCTCGGTCCATAAACACGCAAGAAAAAGAACTTGGCCAATATCCAGCCATCTTGACCTCACACTTGTTCAATAACCCATACATCTGATTGTAGGTATTGATACACTTTTAAGTGACCAACTCTTTGACCTACGACACAAGGCACATGCGTTTTACTCAGACCAGGACAACGTTTGAGATTGAAAAGTAAAGTAAGACAAAAATTGCGAATGGCTGTCCAAAACTAAGAAAGTAATTCTCTCGACTTGCAGCCAATCCTAGCCAATCAGAATGAAGCAAAACCTTGGAACCAGTTCCAAGCGCGGGGATCTCTTGCTCTGTTTTGCTTTTATTTATTTGGTCAAAACAAGAATTTTTTTTTTAAAAAAAGAAATCTTGAGGGAAAACAACAGCGTTTTCAAATCCTCAACTCAATATCTTTTATCATTCTCTCGAACATCCACCAAATTAAACTCCATAGAAACGTATACGACATTTCCTTTTCTAAAAACTATTTTGTTTTTTTCTGAATCGCAAAGTGAAAGACTGCATTTTGACAAAGTGTGGGTATGCTATGAGGTAGTTTCTCGTACAGCAGTCGCTTAATTTCTTCGCGAGTTTCGCTCGCAGATGGAAAGATTTAGGGGGAGGCCGAGATGAGTTCTCTGCGTCCTATCCAAAGGTCATTTTTGAATGGTCATTGCGCTCAGATTTGTTCATACTGCATGAGCACACTTGCGGTTTGTCAAAGTTACATGTGCTTCTAGATTAGTTATATTGTACATAAACGAAAAAAATCACATTTAGAGCAGTTGTTCATGACCTATATTTAATTGTTTTTGAACTAGTAAATTACTTTTATATCTGTCAGGTACTTCGACTTAAGTACTCATGGATTCCATTGCGTAACACAGGAAAAAGTATTTCTACGTGATTGCTTTTCAAAGTAAGTTCACATTTTTCGCCAAATGCGAGCTAATAACCATGCGCTATTCAAACTCGCACGTGATCTTAGTTCTCAGAGATGTTTGTTCCTAAAAAGCGATGACCTTGCAGGCCACACACAAAGTAGGGGGGTTCCTTTTGCCGCCTTTGTCAGCAACTATGTCAGTTACAATATATGGCGTATTCACTTTCATCTTGTTGTTTTGGCTCCCAAGACTGTGTCATCTGTGCCACTTTACAGCGTTGCCGACTCAAAAATATGCAGCAACCCAGAGAAAGTAGAGCCCCATGGCAGCTTAACAATCCTTATCATCAAAATTTACCTGATCCTCTTTTGTTAATCGTAAATATTTGGAATTCTCGTAAAGCAAATGTTTTCCATCTGCGACGGAAACTGCACTTTAAGCAGCAGGGGGCAATGTTTCCTCGGGCCATGGTCAGTGATTATTGGAAAGGGAAGAAGCAGTTAAAATCTGGCTAGTGAGAGACAATTTCGTTTGGCTTTGTTCAATCTTATTGGATCAGCGGATTAGCTTCAAAGATCTGCATGCTGCGCTTAGTCGGCGAGCAACGAAAAATCATTAGGTTACTGTCAACCTGGAGTTAAGGGTGTGTTGACCAACGTTTTGAGATAAGAACAGGTGTCGTTGGCAGCGCTAGCCAACCCCTCAATCGAGCAACTCGAAAAAATCGATCAGATTTGCTGCAAGCGCCCGAAACGTCAGCTCACTCTTAATTGTAAAATGGATCATAGCAGTTTTCGTCTCATCTTATTGTATATCCATTATTGCCGTTTTATAAACGAAAAATGGCATTTTGCCTTCTGTTTAAATATTTATTAGCGTTACTCAGCGTGCGATAAAATCTGAGAATAGAGTTTTCATTTCAAGTTGGAAAACAGCTGTGAGGTAAATAATACTTAAAAACAATCGCACATTGTTCTTGCTCTAATTCGTTATGTATACCGCCAACGGAGTCTTCCAATAAAACCTTAACACTTTCAGAGGAAAAAATAAATTTTGAGCGCTCCCTTGATAAGGACTCTATATATTCTACAGAACCGAGGAACGAATAACAATTTACCCTGTTCAAAGATAAGACACTTTAAGCTGATGGTTGATCTGTGATAAATTAACTTAAAAAATTGTTTTGGCGTCTATGAGTATATTATAATTTCCTTTACAGCTCCAAATGTAAACAACTAAATGAAAAGCTAACGAACCAAAGCTTTCTCAACGCAATTGGTCTGTAGGCGAAAATACTTTGTATAAATATTTTGCAGGAAAAATTAACTGAGAGAACCTTTTTTGTGTGAGAGGCAATCAGCGTTAATTTAATTAGAGACTCTAGCTTGTCGATGGATAAACCCATATTGAGTTCGTTTATCGTCCGGATTCGGGAACTTGCTCTCTAAATCTGGTACGATTTGAATGCACAAGTATCGTTAATTCAGACCTACAGTAGCCGTGGTTTCGAGTTAACTTATTGTTTAGCAAAGAGTATAAGTATTCTAGCGGCCTACAAGAAGCTATTAAGCTTTAACAATGGCCTCAATTTGCCCTCAACGCCCACTTCGTACCTTTCGCGATATGAAATGAGTTCAAAAACAATTAGCAATAAACCTTAACGCTCAAGGTGTTAATTGGATTCCAAAGAATTAGGCGAATGCAACAGCTTTCTGTTTCAGCTCGAATACTCCTAACTTCTGTTTCCTTCTGTACCCTACCCCCTTTGTTTTTCTCCCAGACAAGTTAAAGCATCAATTGCTGATATTGTACAGTTAACCACTGTCTTATCGTGCGGTCATTGAATCAATTGGTCTTATCAGTCGTCTTAAGTAAAGTACGCTCAAAGAACAGGGCAATAACAAACAAATCCGCAAACGTTTACATGTAGTTTATTACATGGTTGTAACTTCATAAATCATGCTGCTGGCTTGATAGAATTGTCGTTTTGAAGTAGCCATCGTGGAACCAGACATTGAACAGGGTAGGTTGTAGTAAATTAATTTATGTTATCTGCTCTCCAATTTCGCCGCTAATTAACACCGTTCCGTGATGCCGTATTTTGGAAGGACAGTTTTGACCACGTGTTTCCGACTTTTTCAGCTTTTATTTGTGAATGCGACGTGCAAAGCGAGGTTTCGATCCAAGGAAAACGTGGCAAAGTTCCTCAAGCAAAACACGCGGGAAATCAATCGATCGCTTTGAATTACTTCTCACGCAATTCATTTCAATTATCTTATTCGATCACTGTCAGAAAATTTTCGAAATTAAGTTAAATGTGTTAATAAGTGACAGAGGAATCCGGTAAAAATTGAAGAAAGGGCATATTTATAAACAAATTGAAAGGCCATTTGCATGATGTTAGCGCTCTTGTTTCTCTGCCTCGCAGTTAATCAAACCATACCCCGCGCTTACGCCAATCGAAAGGAACATACCTTTACAGTGAACAACCGCAAAAAGGAATAAAATGAATTCCAAGGAAACCGTCTTGACAAAGCGCATTCTTCGACCAAGGGCCTTTCCGTCCACAATCAAGCACAGCTGCGCCCCGCGGTCCTTCCAAGTCCAAAGGCTGTCGAAAAATAACAAAGAGACACGGCGACAGGTTAATAAATTTCTATGCATATATGAATGAAGATATCGATTGCCCGGTACACTGACCTTGCAAGTAAGCTAGCCACTTACAGCAAGAGGTATTCATCAGTTGGCTTTTCATCAGAAGGGGGCTTAGACAGAAACATCTCACTCGCTTGCCAGTGCACCACAGGGTAGAATATTAGCATACGCTTTTCAAAGATCGGATCGATTTTACATTCTTTAACATCTGCTTAAACTCCCTCCCAATATCATTTGCAAAAGCTACCATTTAAATTCATTAAAAACACAGCGGAGGAGACGTTAGGTTAATGCTTCTTACGCTTGCAATTCCAAGAGATTTGTGTCCACTGTTATTTGTATACCTTGATGTCGGTGTAAACATTCTAAAGAGAAGAAATTTAAAACCGCTTTGCCGAACACTCTTGGCGATTCTAATGCACACTCGCTTTTCAAAACGACCAATAGAATTAATCCTGTAGTTGTCAACGAAACCCTTTCTGGAACAAAAATAAAAGTAGCCCATATCGGTTTTTTGAGAGAGGCCTTTGCAGGTAATGGCAGACGGACAAGAAGCGGGGGTCCAGCTTCATGCAATGACTGTGCCAAAAGTGTGGATATATTCAGCAGGATGAGGAAATTCTAACTCATTGAAGAGCAAATTCAGGTGTAATCCTATGATACCAAGGAGGCCGAAGTAATAAATCAACTTAACTCGTGCTTTCAACATGGAATAATGGGTCACAGGTTGTGAAACGAAACTTCTCGATGTATGGAAACCGAAGAAGCACTTCACAGCAAGACAGAATTGGAAAAACAATCGGCAAAACGCCCCAGTGACGGCTGGCGAGTTTGTCTTCGAAACTGATTTCAAAAGAATATTACTAAATTCTGTAGTAGTCACTACACGTGTAAATTATGACGTTCAGGTGTCGCCGGTAATAATCAAGGCGCAGTCATCAATCATTTCACGTTACTCTGCCACTTAGAAGAAAGCTTTCACATACAAATGAAAAATGTCCTGTTGAAATTTTGGGTCCAACAAGACATGCTAAACAATCGCGCCCAGTCGGAACATACATTCACCTGCAGTGCCTAACAGCAATCAAACAATCCACAACACCGAAGCCTGCTATGGCTAACGACGAAGTAAAAACACCCCGGCTGCCTGAGCTTCCCAGACAAATTCGAGCTGCTATGGTTTAACTATGGTATTTCAATCCGTGTTTGACCCGAGAGCACCGCCTACAGGACGGATATCCGAACAAGCCACACAACATCAATACTTACGCAGTGTTCAAGCTTGAGAGATCGGCAGCCAAGTGTCCCTTTATGCTGATCAGATCGCACAATAAAGAGAAAAGCTCGTAATGCCCAGGATTTCACTGTCCAACCGAGAATTCATTTCGCTCGAGGCAAGGCAAGGCGCATGCCAATCAGTCGGACAATTACTGCCTGTCAAGTCACCGATTACAGCACAAAGATAACCTATTGTTTCCAAACAGTTCCCAGCTCAAGTGAAAAGGCGGTCTTTACGCAAGCTGTTTTCCTTTCCTTGACGACTCTGTCCTTACGTTCGTGGATGCCACATCTAAATAAATAAGACGCTCGACGTCAAATTGCAAGATTACTGCGAGTGTAGGAGATCGTTTAAGCCATTCTCGTGCATTCGTGGCCACATATCGAGCGGCTTAAATGTCACATAGACAGATTCAGCGGAAGCCGCTGAATACAGTGCAGGTAAAGCGAAGCCACAGCCTTCTCGCTATCGCGAATGGTCGTCTGGAGGTCAAATCAGATGCTGTACGGATGATGTGGCGAAAGTGAATTACACTAAGGGGAGATCGATAAGGAAAGTGTCGATCTCGCGGATTAGCGTCTGTGCAATTTTCCACAAGGCGAGTGATGCGTCAAAATGTAAAATGAGCGATTGTTGACTGAAACCCAATCCGCTAGAACCTTTCTCTGTTCATGTATACACAAATATTTGATTTGAATTAGAAAATACTTACACATTGGACAGCCAATCAGCGAGAACCGAGACCGGCGCGAATTAATTGACTTAATTGCAAATGTCCATAAAGCACAAATCTTTTCGTCTGATGTGTACCGCTTGTTCACCTCGCGAACTGCTCAGAGATTATCATCTCGATTTTTATCGCGATACAGTTTGAAGATTTCTTCGATGTTTTCATCACGATTTCAAAACAATGTCTCGCGGGCTTGGCCCACCAAGGGAACAAATGCGCGCTGACGGTGATGTAATAAATTGTTCAGCTGTTCATTACTTTAGCTCAGTACGGAAATTTGTTTACGATAGGGTAGATTCCAACCAGTGATTTGATCACAAAAGAAATGATTCCTACACGATTTTGTCTATTTTTTAAGTAATGAAATGAGAACCGCCTTTAACTTTTGCCATTGTCAATCTTTTGGCTCGTTATAAAACCTGTGCTCTGCCTGAGTTTCTCTGGAAATGGAACGCGGCGTCAGAAATTTATCCCTTTGTTTTTCATCTTTCATCGAAGAATCAATGAATGTTAAGAAGGCAGCAAAGACATAACTGAGATTAAAAATTAAGAACAAACGAAAACCTCTCGACCAAAAATAACCCTATCGGGTATGAATACATTCTTTTATTAGCTTGACTGAGAATTCCAATCGCAAAAAATATCTAAAAAGAAATAACATACTTTTCGAGTAATTTTGGACCCTTTGCCACGGAGGAAAGAATCAAAATAGACAACAAAATTAAAACGCCGAAATAACTGCTTACTCTTATTTTGTCTAGAGCAGGTGAAAACACGACAGGGGGGGAATTCTGGACCCTTCAATGCTAAAAGATGATGAACTATAAATTCCGTGCCGCTAACAAAGATAACAGAAACATATCTCTACCTACCGACCGGAATGCAAAAGTCCTTACAAGGGTTCCGGCCAGCTGATGGTCTCCTGGCAGGAGAGAATTTTTAAAATTTTAAACTGATTCTCAGTTCGTCGTTGAAAGCGGTATTTTGAGCGTTGTTTTTACCTACAGCCGTCTTTTATCTTGATGTATGAATACCGATTACGGTGAACCACACGCTGAGTCGCATCTGAAGGGATCCCATCAGAAAACTCGCGCTAAAAAAGGTTCTTTATCAATTAAGGTACCGATTAAATGAAATACAGGATTATACAGGATGGTATTTGTAAGACTTCCGCAGAAACTTGCGACTAATATTATTGACTGATTTGCAAGTTCGAACGTGGCATGATTGACCACTGTCAAGATTGTGATAGTTGATCGGGAGAGGAAGGGAAATTTGCTGACAAACTATTGGGGAAAGGAAGATATTACATTACTTAAAATGTCCCACTTAATATTTCTAGTTAATCTTTGTGTTTCACTTCGATTTCCGAACGGCTTCATTAACCTCTTCATTCTTTAGTTTACCCCAAGCTCTGAAGAAAAAGAAAGAAAAGCTGTTTTTAAACATATGATTTCCCGCGTCTTATAATTTGCATTATAATGCTTTAGTGGAGGAAAGATATGATAATTTTATGATTGTTGGCAGACTTGCCAACTGAAACAGGAAAGGACAAGCAAAAGAACTCCTTTTTTCCCGCTGAGCAATAAGACATGAACGCATTAATAGCGATGTCGTAATTTATACGGTGCATAAAGTTATCCAAAATTAAACTATTTGAGAAGTTTGAACAATGCGCTAAACAGCAAACCCCGTACAGCAAACCCTGTGTTTCTTTCTCTTATTCCCTAACTAGAACGTGCTTTAATTACCAATAATTTTCAACCGATCATGTTTTCTCTGGCGATACAACGACCAGTTTATACTCACCCCAAAATAACCTTGATATCAGCTCATTTTTTTGTTTCCAAAACAAATATTGAAATTTAAACACCCTTTTGTCAAGTCATTCGTTAGCACTTTCAGCGTTTATCAACCTGTCAAGGCACCCCGGGACTTTTTATCGAGTTGCGGCCTTTTGCTTTCAAATTCACATTTCAATAATTGCTAAGAAATGAATTATGCCAAAGGAGATAGCATTATATTATTTTTCGCGCGCTTTGTTTATCATAAACTGCGCTATTTCCTACAATTTAAACTGGTATGTAAAATTTCACCCTGTTTGGCACTAGAATTCTTCGATTTTCCTCTCAAACTAACGGTTTAAGTTCAAAAACCATCCATCACGATGTATCACCCAAGTTTCAATAAGCAGCAAAGAATATTCATATTCATATATATCTCGATGAATAATTTTGTTCAGTACTAGTTATCATACAGTATAATGTTATCTGGTTAGAACCTGAAGTCTCTTCTTGCGCGTCGATCCTTCAGTTAAAACTTCACTTCCCAGGGCTAGTCCGGATGACTTTACTGCTCCAATAACAAAATAAAAACTGAAACCCTAAAGCACTTGCTAAATTCAGTTAAGCTAACCGCCCGGTTATAAAGAGCCCAGAATTCTATTGGCTAATTTAGCTAAAAGCTGGCAACTAAGTTATTACGATTCAGGAAAACCTTATGAAACGGATGAGACAAGAATATAAATAGCCTGAGATGAACCAAGCGGGACACAGACAGAAACACATCGTTTAAACACCGATGACGAGATATTCAGACACGTGTAGAGGACCGCAGAGCTGGTACATGTACACGTAATTACAGTTAATTCACCTTTAAGTTAACCGCCTAGCCTGGTCGAATACACTGCTTAAATAACACAGGCAAAAATGCGACTATGAAACTTGCAACTCGACCACTATTAAGCCCAGATTTCTATTGGCCAAAGTGGTCTGAGAAAGCTAAAGAGTTTTAAGAGCATTTTAAGAAAAGCCTCATACAAATGAGACATGGAATTATTTAATTCGAGCATTACCGATCGACGAGCTTATGAATATGGCGGATCTAAGTGCTCATATCACCCAAGCACAAAAGCGTCTCGCTTAAAAAATGCGCCTTCATGTTTAGTTCGCGGGCCGTACTTAGTCCAAAGTAGAAGAAGTGATACAAGCAGTAACAGTTTCTCGTCGCTGAAATCGTTAGACCGGATACATCAACGAAGACAAGTTTCCTGACAACGCAGACTCAAAATGAATATTGTTGTCTTTGGTTTAGTTTTCAACACAAATTCAAACGCGCGTAGCTATAATATAATCCTCCAAGGAATAAGAGGATTTGCTTTGTCCGCATTCATTCGTTGATTTCTTTGTAAACTAGCCAAGTTATAGCTACCCGTTCTGGCTTAAACTTACTTTTCTTTGCTGCGAGGACAGTACAGCCTCTTGCCAACGCGTGCCAGTCGTCGGAATCACCTTAAGTTCCTTCCTATTCTAATAGCGTGCCTCACTCGTTGGCAGTTTTGACACAAACCCAGCGCGCTTTCCATTAGTAGAATAAACAGAGAATAATTTGCTTGACGTGGAAATAGCACTTAGACGCCTGCTCTCTGACCTTTTCTCCAATGCCGAGAGATCCAAGAGAAATCGAAATGTCTTAAAAGACGGCTACTTGTGCAAGTAATTCCTCAGGAGATTCACCTTATTCACAACAAGGCTTGCGGCGTTGTTTTGTACCGAATCGGGCTAATTTAGTCCCGTGACCGAGCAAGACAGAGCTTTCGTGAATGAACGAGTAATCCATTGTATGAAGAGTGACACATTACTCTGAATTGAAAGGAACACTCGGAGATAAGTCATCTAGAATTGATGTGTTGACATTAAGCTCAAACCTCGTAATCCGCAGAGTTTAATTTTTATGAGGTTCTGCATCGCTAAGGAGTTTAAGGAAAACAATTATTCCCACGGATTTGGATTTCGGACAAAGTGTAACTTTCCAAATCTCTAAAGCAAACCCGCAATTCCGCCTTCCCTGAGGAAAAGTTTACTTAATGATGTTTATCCAGCAGAATCGAACTGTATATAAACTTTACAAAAGGCTGGACAATTCGAGAGTTTGTTTTTCAAATAGCTTCGTGACTGTTTCGAGTATAATGCTAAAATGGCCGCCTACTTACTAATTTTGACCTGCCCCTAATTTTATTCTGACAACCATTAGTATTCCTTTGATTGACAACGTCACATCACCACCAGCTGCTTTTGCGCTTGGGGCCTATTTTAAGAGCTTAATACTGTGTTTCGTCTCCTAGGATTTGCAATGTATATTTCAATTTCATGTCAGATAAACGTTAAAACGATATTTTGTTATAGAAAGGACGCTGAGTGAAGTTAAAACAGGGTTTCCTGCCTACAGTCGATGTCATCTTAAATGCTTTCGTGCTTGCCTTGTTACAAGAGCTCTAAATACAAAAAACAAATTAATCAAAATAAAATATTCATTTCGTCACGAATTAAGAAACCACAAGGTATTTCTTGACAGATAGACCATAATGTTCTCCAATCTCGTTAGGATTATCTCACGAGTAGCCTGCGTAGCAGACATTTTCCTTCCGTTTTCCAGGCGGAGAGATTGAGCAAGCGAGCGAGCACCTGCTTGCTCCTTATATTCGCACTCGCTCGCGGGTTTGTTCCCTTCGCGTGCTTTTGAAAATGAACCCCTGCTACGCAGGCTCTCTCACGACCAGTCGACGATCTGGCTAAGTTTATCGTACTTTTCTCGCTCTGTCTTACGCGGTCGTGTGTAAAGAGAATATACTGAAAATTCTGGAAAAAAAAAAAGAGAAAAAGAAAAAAAACCTAGCAGGTTAAGTTTACACAGCCTTGATCCGAAGTTCTTTCAGCTGGAACTGGGGTGTCTGTCAATTTCAGAAAGTCAGTTGAACTTCTTTCTAAAACCTCCCAGCACTCGGCTTTTACTGAAGGAGATCGTCGGTCGCGTTAGTTGGACCGGTTTTGTGTATGTTCGTTAATTAGGAGCTCCCTAATTGTTCGAAAGAAAAAGAAACTTTACATGCGGGGATTGGGTGCGGGGGTGTGATGTTAATTTTCTCTGCGGAAGTCGTTGCGCTGAAACAGAAGCCCATTAAGTAGAAGAAAAATAGAGTCAGCGATACCAATTAGCACTTTTCTCATTTCTTTACCAGTCTGCTTAACATAAACCATCATTTCTTTCTAGAAAAAAAAATACACTACTCAGTAAACTATTAGACTATCCTTCCTTTCGCCTACGAAAACACTTAGTCTGCTCAGTGTGGATAGAAGTCTATTTGATGTCCCTTTGTAATTCAACTAAAACTCCTAAACAAAATCTCCACGATATCTCATTTCCACCAACTCCTCCAGTTTTTTTCAGCTCCTCTTCACACTCACACCCCCACCATGAACAGTCCTCTCAAGAGATTTTCACTTTCAACAGACTAATAAAAAGAAGAAGCAAAGAAAGACAAAAAAACTCGACATACCAATGACAGTATCTAAATTTCTATATTGCCTGATGCTTCAAGACAAAATGGCCCAAAGAAGCTCCTTCTCCGTAGAAGGAGCTGAAAAAAAAACTAAATTCCCTCGAACGTCGGTCTTGCACCTGCGGCGGGCCATGCACTGCGAAAAAAAGTCAATTTAACAATTCTACAAAATGAGTAAAGTTAGGAAAGTTGGTATATATCCGCTTCTGGCAATCTTGTTTGTTCATTTTATAATTCTGGCCATCGTCCTGTGATGGCTTCACTTGCCGAGATGGAACTATCTTGAATATGTCCGGCTTTAGGAACGGGTTGAAAAGGGTATGGCTCCAGAGAAAATTGCTCTGTTCAAGTCATACGTTGTTCAAATAATAAAAGAGCTAGGCGAAAGGAAATTGTTGCAGCGTCATGGCAGGCTAGGGCTAAAGACGCTGATAAACACTACGAACCGACTTTTTACATTTTTTGTGCTTTAACTACCATTCATCCTGAAAATCTCAGGCGCACTCAGGAGCGCCCAACAGATCGCTACCTAAAGATTATGATCATAATGTCTTGAGATCATAACTCTTGTCGCTACTCACGTACTAAGACCAGGAACGCCGGAATGCATTCCGAGAATTTTAAGAATTTAAACCTTAGCCATACACGACAAGCCGAAAACAAATAAATTTATTGTCAACTGCGAGTGATTTGAACCTAGCAACTATGTAAGTGCAAATAACGAGTTATCCATCATTGGTGCGACTTGAAGGTTACAAATTATCGTCTGGCCGTTAGTTTTTAGCTACGGAAGCTTTTTCTTAATACATGGTCACAAGTTCTTTCACAAGTTCTTCCATGTATGGTTTTTTCGCTCTTTAGGTAAAAATGGTGGCGTTCTGAACATGCGTGCATGCAAGTTAACCCCGCTCTTTTCTCGCCTGGATTCAACCCGAAAATAGAATGTACGGGGAAGGGAGAGTTCAGGGATTAGATTAGCGAAAATCGTGGAAAACATGGCGGGAATTTTCGGTGGTTAATATTTTGCGATACTAAGATTACTTTGTCAGTAGTACTACTGACAAAGTTTCCGGTCAAGGAAAAAAAACAACAACACACTAACAGAGCATGTCCGACTCACTCCTATATCCTAAAGCTTAAAATTTGTCTTTTTAGATCAGTTTTCATAAAGGATGTCAAACGCCGACAGGATAAGTTAACTTAAAAATATGCCTCTGCATTTCGTTTGACTGCGGTTATCTTTGTTACTGCGGATTGAAAAACCCGGTTATATGACCCTTTTTAAAATAACTGAGCTTGAATCGGATTGTCTAATATTTCACTTAGACGTTTGTGTCACCCGATTCAAAAGAACCTCTATTAAACATGTTGAAAGAGTGTGTTTTGTACAGGAAAACAAACTTGCAAGTTACGTAATAGTTGTACTGGGGTACCCCATAAGTGTGCCATAAAAACTAAAGAAAATATCGGCAACGAAGTCGCGACGCAAGTAAACCACTCCATCGTCAGTTTTTCTCTTTGAGGAATGTCAGGTAGAAAGCTAAGCATCACGAGAAACGAGAGACTGGGAAAATGGCCGCAAACTGGAGTTTTGTTTCTTGCCGGCGACAACTTTCATGTGAGTCATGATGAGCATAAAACCTGATTTCAAAACATTGTGATCATTGTTTATATACCTCCCACTATGTCTTCAATTAGCAGCTACCATTGTTATTGTTATTATTATTAGGCTATGAGTTGAGACTGAGTTTCGGCCAGAATTGCAAATGTCGTTCACGGGAAAGTTTATTTCAGAAATGCTGTACGCATTAGTGTCACACGAATTCTCGATAAACAGGTGAAACAGCCTCGGTCTTTTTGATGAATCTTAACATTCCGTGCGGCCAACTTTTGAGTTCATCTGATGTTGATACCTCTTTTAATTTCATCAGAATTCTTTTCGCATGGTTTCAGTCCCCCAAAGACAGAAAAAGTAATTAATCAAAAATTCGAGCCGGAAAGCTATCATATTCATGCTCAGCCCCTTCTTAATTTATCATAAATACGATCGGAGAAGTACTCGTCACAAGTTCCAGCGCTGTAATTGTCGAGGATATCACTCGACCTGTAGAGAAATGTCTGTTTTGTGCCGCTGTTATATTCTTGCTTCTCCTCAGCTAACGCCGTAGCACGTGATATAACTCGAAAAGAACTGTCATCGCTTGGATTGCAGGCGTCACTCTTTACCAACAGCTTGCTTTGTTCAGAAATTAGTTTGCACAATTGATCAAAATGTTTGTTCCATGAAGCACGCGGTTTAAAGAGATCGATTACTAGCGCACGAAAAGTTCAGGCCATGTTGGTTCATAATGAAGTCCTGCGTGTCACATACCACAAAAAGAATCAGTCTCCAAGCGTTTGACTAGCTAAACCGACTACTGACAACTCGTCTCGATTTTTGACACCTCAAAAGTGAATCACACCGCCTCAGGGCTTGAGTTCTATTCAAAACAAAGACAAAACGAGCTGTCTGTTTTTATGTCAATCGTAAAACAAAGGAAAACTGCTCGTTTTGAAAAGAAGGCGCCGTGATGGATCGCTTGAACGATCGTTTCGCACCCAGTTGTCAATGTTAACTGGATTTGATGTGGGTATCTAAAACGGTTTGTTTAAATTAAAGGAAGGGATTAGCAGTTGAAAAAACACCCATCTTTTGTGGAGGTGTAATTGTGAAGGATTACAGTTTGATAGCTGTCAAACCTTCTTTCAATGTTTTTCAATCCCAATTTCGCTCAGTTAGGCCGTTTCTTTTTTCCTGAAAGTCATTCATTCAAGAGTGGCTCAAGTGTGTTTTTGTGCCAGTGCGAAATTTTCGGGAAACATCATAAAACGGGCTTCGTAGGGAACGCTTCTGCTCGGAACAGTCCGTGATAAATAAAATTTTGAATTAGTTACCTCTCATCCTTCGTTGCAGTCTCTCAGTGCTTGCACTTTTCTCATCCCTCAAAGAAATAAATCAGTCAATCAATCACAAATTTGACACTGGAAGTGTTAAATTTTTGATGCAATCGCACCCAGAGACAAGTCGCTAGAATTGGACAGTTATCTGATCAGATGCGATAGACTCTGGCTTTCGAACCAGAAAGCTGAAACGGGTAATTGAATACGGCGCTGACTTCATCAGATAATCAGTATTGTTGATTGAGCCACGTGCACAATTAAACCATACTGTCATCCACTGAAAAGAGACCAAAAGCTATCAAAGGTGTGAAGGAAGAATACATTTCAGATCAATGGCCCCGATTACTCATGAGACATACAAGATTTTGAAAGAAGGTGATTATTCATGTCAAATACAAGAAACAATGAACAGAATGTGTCGCTGTCGCTCATCTCTACAAACAAGTATCTTATTCTTACTACTTTTCGCGCGCACTAAATTTCGCGTTTTGAAAAAAATCGTGAAAGTTAACGCTCGCGAAAAAGACGCAGGCTACAAAACTAATAGAGCGCGCGAAAATTCTAAACACGCGAAATTTTATACAAGATTATGTAAGAAAATAATACATGTATTTTGAATGTTTTGAGTCATGGGCTCGTTGGTAATTTTTCAGTTTCTGTCCTTGAAAATAGTCGTTATGATCTTGTTTTTAACTACTTAGCACTCTTCCTCCGAATCACTGTTATTTTCAGCTTGAAAACCCGCCAAAACCTAGCTCTATAGCACATGCATCATAAACTTTTCAATCTATAGCGGATCGTGATTCGGATTGAGCAGGAGCCTTGGATTGAACACCGCACCTCTCTGTCGAAGAAAGACGAAATCAGAATTAAAAGAATGATACATGAAGCGCTTGATTCCGTGATTTCGATCATCGTAATGATATTCGTTACAGCCACAGCCTATCTTTTTTATGATGCTAGGACGGACACAAATGCCATTTTCTCATTTTATTTTATTTTTATGATATGGATAGGACCCTGCGCGCGCTCTGATTGGTCAAAGACCCATGTTTTATCAGAGTATAAAACATAGAAAAAGCGTATTTTATTGTTTTTCGCCATATTAACTCTAGATCATAAAGCAAATGGAGAAGCCTAAGCCGCAGGCGAGTGTTTGCTACATTTCTGGATTGTTCTCAAAAGCCCGTCGTGTTTTATCACAGTGTAATACACGGCTTAGGCTTCTTTATTTGTTAATTATTTCTTTATTTAAGGGAATACTTATACAGGCAGGTCCAATTCAGCCGATGATAGCTAGTTTAAATGCTGAGGCCTGTAACTAAATAGTAAATTATCAATACTTAAAGTTTTACTGACTGGCAGAAAAAAGAGCAAACAATTTGCATCCACATATCGTTTTCGAACTGGTTTCACCTCTCCAAAGGCAACTGAAAACGCTTCGATTTCGTCAGTCTGACACCGCCTGCACATGCACAAAAGTTGAAGTTCTTCGATTCGTTTCCACTAGGCCACATTTAAGCCTTCATCGAAAGCATTTTGAGTCCTCCATCGATCTATTGGTGTGGATGAAAGGCTTAAGTCACCAAAAGAACGGCGCGTTCTCAAACTGAAATACTCCCTCCACTTAGCAACACGGCAGTTTGTACCATTCTCCTGTCCGAGTGAGGCTAAGACCATGACAGGACAAGGTTTTAGTTATTGAATTGGATGTGGGAGAAAGAGAGATGGTATCACCCTCGTTTAACCACGCTATAATGAGAGTCAGTCGATATCAGACTCAAAGACTTTCTTTTTTCAGCTCTTGAAGAGTCTCAATTCGAGTTGAACGTTGTATACTGAACCTGCGATCAGGTTCCCGTTTCCGTACACTTATCTTTAGGGAGTTTCAGCAAACCACGACGGCGACGGCAACAAGAACGTCACCACATAAAAGATTTAATTAAAGATTCTGCACGTGTGTTTCGAATCTTTGTACATTTCTTTGCCGTTCCGTGCAAAACAATAACTTGAATTGAAAAATTTATACGTATTTTGGAGGACGTGTACTGCATGGATAATTTTTAGTGTCTTCATTTGGAATTGAACGCTGTCATTACATATATATTTAGCCTGAGCAGGTTTTTAGACCGATAGGCGTACTGAACAGATCTACACAGTTGCGACATTCAATGGTAAAATATAAATGCTTTTGTACAAGGCGTCGTCCTCGGCGTCGCCGTGGTCATTGCTAAAACTCTCTATCCTCCGTAAGGTAGGCCGCGTGTGATCTACCTTCAAAATGATCGCGTAAAAACTAGCTCAGCTGCTATTCAGTCACTAACAGCCGCAAGCAACTGAGTAACCCGGGTAGTTCGCTGATAACAGAGGAAATACTGCTGGCCAGTACCAGGTCTAAATCTTTTTGTGTTCTAGCAGTAACAACTAAATCCCTTGTCAGTAGCGTTACAAGTGTTATAAGAAGCAATCGCAACGCTGCATTAGGATCTCAAAGACAGAAATGGGTCGCTCTGAATAATTCATTACATACATTGGAATCACAGTTTGACAATCTCGAGCTCTCATAGCCTGCATGCGACTATGGCTACTTCTGATCTCATACCAGCTAGATCTGCAGGCCTCGTGAAAATACAATTCCTATACTACAAAGCAATGATCTGCATCGAGAAAAATGCAACAGAACTTTACCATTCTTTTTTTTCGGTGGCAATGGATGCGTTTAACACTCTCTCAAAAACTCTCATCCTTTTATGTGTAATAGTGAAACCTCGCCTTACAACTAGCCCTTTAACACAGCCACCTCGTTAATACAGCATCTTTTTGTAACCTGAAGAAAACGCGTAGTCAATATTTTTTGTTTGTTTCCTTTAATTCAACGGACCGTAATTTCATGAACCATTGGCGGCCGTGTATTAACGGTGTTCCACTGTATCTATATCCTAGCAGAAATAGTACAACTCAAATTCATTATAAGAACTACCGCGGCCGTAAATATTTATGATGCCAGCGCTAACGGCACTCCCTCTTTTCTCTCCAAACACCTCGTACCTGGAAGCAAGGGAGGGGTACCTCAAGCTATTTGCTACCTTTTGCTCTCTCCTCCCATGCCAATACCGTGCATTGACAATATTTCCAAATCTGGGCTGAAGCACGGCAGTCGCTTTCAAAACCTTTCTGTAAGATCATTTACAAATTAATTGTCTTTTCGTAATACACTGAGGTGCACTGGGCATAACGCATGTTTTGCCTGTTAACTGGTACCACTAGTCTGGATCTATGACTGAATTTCATGTAGACGTTACATACGGTAACATGTAGTGCATTAACCCTACAATCTCAGTCCAATGGGTTAAATATCAGTTCTCCATACCGATTGCCATACACTTCTTTTAACGTTAGGAGAACTTCGTTGTACTCTTAAAGACGACATCCTAAAGTACTGTGGGGAATAAGGCAACGTAAAGTAAGTAACTATATTCCTAACATCACTCTTCTTGACAATGCATTGATGATACATAGAGAACATGGAGGACGATCATTCAAGTTCTGTAATTTGAGGGCCAACAGCTGCCTTAATCTTCGTCTAACTTCGCCCTTTTATTGTTGCCAGTTTCCCTTCTTTGTTCATGGAGTTCAAAGATTTTGTTTGCAAACTCTATAGCTTCTTCCACGCCTTCGCATTTGTTCTTCCACAAGTCAGGAATCTTGTCCAATCCCCAGTAAGCTCCACTTATCGCACCTGCCATGCTAGCGATTGTGTCTGTGTCCCCCCCTAAGGAGATGGCATAGTTTATGGACATGTCAAATGACACTCTGCCTTTGTGAAGGAATGAAAAGATGGCAGCAGGCACTGCTTCCTCAGCTCTTATTCCATTGCCAAATGTTTCTACAACAGTCTTAGTTTCCAAGTTGTCACCTTTACAAAGTAGCTCCTTCATCTCTTTGAACTTCCCAACATATACAGAATGTGAATGGGTTGTGCTGTGACCACTAGAAAAATAATAATAAAAAAATAATAGAATAGGTTTATTCAATAAATTACTTACACATGTATTGTTTGTGTGTAACTACTGGGGTAGGATGTACACAAGTCAAACATGTCACTATAGAATAATTGTTATAAAATAAGGCAGATGCTAAATCATGCAGCCCTGATAACATGTACCCTACATTGCACAATATACTTGGAGTAAAATCCGTTTTTAACATTTAACATTATATATTTTTAAAATCTCCACCAAGCTTATTACATGTATATACATACCCTCATTTTCTCCACACATTCTGCCACAATATATGAACCGAATAATTCAACCAGCTCCCATAAGTCTGTGTTACCCTTGGTAGCCCAGGAGGGCTCTCACATAAAGAGGACAGGGGTGCTCATTGGAAATTTTGAACAGAGCCCCTGAGAGTTACCAAGAAACTGTTTTATGGGTGTGGCTTAAAATCGTACCCCTACGAGGTACCAATGCTAAAACAACCCATTAAATGACACTTCTTTGGGCTCAATACTGTAAAACGTAACATGAAAGCTTCCGTTGTGGGCCTAAGAGGTACAGACCCGCTTTTTAACCCCTAAAAAGTATGAGGAGCACCCCTGTCCTTTTTATATCGGAGTCCCCCCAGGTTGGTAGCTCAATTATCATACAGAGTGGCTCACAAGTCATAGGTTTAACTTCTGTTGAATTTTATTTCTGAGTACTAGCTTGCCTCACTGATTGATTACATATCACATTTCTCTTGTATTTCTACAAATTTTGGATTCACTATAGTCCAGATATTATCTGTAGAGTAAGCTATACATTGGTATTGTATGCATGAGAATGCAGCTTTATATCCTAGTGGTGAGATATGAGAACATTGGAAGGTGTGGCCTAACCTGTTTTCTTTTTTCTCAATGGGTGCTTCTTTCTCTTTCTCAAGTTCTTCTGCCACCTCCAAAATCTCATCAATAAATTTGTTTGTGTTCACGTTTGGAGGTTCCAGAGACAGTGCTTTAAATACTGCCAATGCTTGTAAGATAGCACCATTAACACCATTGATGTGAGCATGTGTTATCAAAGCATTCTCTCTGGCATTCTATTAAGATAAAAGGAAAAGGGATGCAGTTATAATTGGAAAAGAATAATTTATTTAAGACTCTTACCCATTTCTGACCAATGCAGAATCTTCATTCTCCTTAATTAATGCTCTACCTATGGCTGAAGTGTTCATGCTGGTAAATTTGTAACACGTTCCAGCAAATATCCATACTCATGGAAGGTTAGTCGAAATTCCAAGGTGGAAGGGGTCTCAAAAGCCAAATTTTTAAAAGAAAATCTAACCAAACTGGAATTATCAGAGGGATTGGGGAGGGTGGGGAGAGGCAGGGATTCAAACCAAAAAACTCTCTCTTGGAGGAGTATGGATATTTTCTGAATGAACACAAAGAGAAATTTGTTTAAAACTACAAGTAGGCTCAAATTTCCAGTCCTTACTTCATATTGAAGAGTACAATAGTCAGTTAACCGAGAATCAATCTAAACCTTCTAATTTGGTTTCTAAAAACAAACAGCAATGAATCCTGCAATCTGATTGGTTCCTAGTGCAACACAGATTTTCCTATCTCTACCAACAATCATTATAATGCTTTTGTGAGTTTTATCAGAGTGATTTGAGGGAAAGAGGAAAAAAGAAATGTTATTATCTTGGTTAGGGATACATCTGTCCATACAGTGAAACACTTTGACCTTGAACTTGAAAATGCTGCCTGAATTTGGGTGACATTTTCAAGACATATACAGACCCCTCAGCTGGCAAATAACATATTTATTCACAATATTTGTTTGTTTATATAGGGGCCTCAATGTTAACCCTGGATGGCTGGACTGCTCCAGGCTGCTCAATCCAGAGTCTAGTGCACTTTTTGAGTTACCACTGGGTCACTGGACCACTCACACATGTAAGCTTACCCCAGCGGGTGGGGGGTGTGAATGAGCTAAATGGGGACCGCTGAAAAAGTCCAAATTATGGTCTACAAGGTAACCAATTGTTTGACACAAAAATGAGAACAATGGATTTTTTTTTAACCTTCAAAAAGTCCCTGCAAAATGTATCATCCCCAAAACCTCACTGTTCCCCAAAATTCTGACCTCTCAAAACACTCCAAACCAACCCCAAAAAGGGCTTTGCACCCCCCTGTCAATTTTGCCATTAACATGCCCCTCCTGTCAGGCATGCTTGATGATATTTGTCCCTGCCCCAGAGTGCCTGGGCAGGTAGAAGTTGTTGTTGCACCATGTAATGTATCAATCGACCCACATCAAAATCATACCCCTGGTACATCCTGGGCATTTGACTAGTTGATAGGACCCTGGGAAATTTGACACCATTGGCCTTGAAGTCATCATGATGGTGAAGCTGGACAGCACAGTTCTCTATAAGATTGTGTCTTGAAAAGGAAGGCCATCAAAAGCTTTGTGCTGTGTTTGAAGGTTATAAAGCTTTGCTTGACCAACTGGCTGAAAATTCCAGATGTAAAATGCCTGGTTATCCCAGATTGGAGGGGGTGGTGGGTGAATGTTGAAGTTTACAACTGACCTGTATATATTAGCCAGAAGAAAAATTAAAGTAAATAATATCTTACTATTTTTGTCCACTTTCTTGGTTCATTTGACTTACAGTACTTGCCTGGAATGCCAGCCACATATATATAGTGTGGTACGGCGTGTAATCCCGTAGGACTTTCGTGCCGAAATTAATTTTTTCGCTGTTTTGCACTTATTTTGGGCCGAACAATAAGAACCCGATGGGGTTCAAATTTTCCGATCCCGTCTCCCCATGTTTCTGGCTACTCTAAGGATTTAATTTATGCTAATTTATGCCAATTAGATGCAAAAAAGTCTTGCAAATTTCTTTGCTCTTAGATTCAAGATACAGGGACCAAACGTTATATGAAGCTTACTTTTGATGACGTATGTCATATGACTTAACTTGGTTACCATGGCAACCAGCGATGACGTCAGGTTTAACTACCTGCTATTTTGGTGGCGGCCATCTTGGATCCACCATCTTGGATTTTCGAACTCTCATTTTTCTAAAGCAAAACAGTGAATTTTAAATAAACTTTAACTAACGAATGAT